ATTGAAGAGTCATCGAAGGAAAGCTTCTCCCGCTCGGCTTGATCACGGCCTTCTCTCCCGCGATCGTTTTTTCCCGAGCGCTGCTCCTGCGCCTGCTCTCTCCGCTGCTCTCGCCTGCTCTCTCCCGCGATCGTTTTTTCCCGATCGTCCAAGCGCCAGTTCCAGCGTCTGTTCGGATCCGCGTCCACGTCCGAGGAATATCCGAGCGCCTGTTCGGATCCGCGTCCGCGTTCGAGGACTATCCGAGCGCCTGTTCCGCGTCCGCGTCCGAGCGCCTGTTTCGCGTCCTCGTCCGAGCACCTGTTCCGCGTCCGCGTCCGAAGACGATCCGAGCGTCTCTCTCGACCGCATCCGAGCGCACGCACCTCTCCTGCGTTTGTCTGCCTCATGTCTGGTCATTCTGCTGGCCACCTCTCCTCTCCAATGACTAAGTACGGTCATGTCTGCAACTCCTCCTCCACTAGTGATGTCACTTCTAGCCACCCCTCCGCGGTTGGGTCTCCATTACCCAGCAATTCAGACAATAATTATGTCCTCATCACCAGCCACAAACTCACCGGCTAGAATTACCTCCAATGGTCGCAGTCAGTCATGATGTTTGTATGCGGCAAAGGCAAAGATGACTACCTCACTGGTGATGCTCCAGCTTCGATGACGACAGATCCGTCATACAAGACTTGAAAATCCGAGAATAATATGGTTATGGTCTGGCTTGTTAACTCGATAGCACTTGATATTGGCGAAAATTTTCTTCTCTATGGCACGGCTAAGGAAATCTGGGATGCTGCCCATGAGACCTATTCTAGTGCGGACAATACAAGCGAACTATTTGCTGTTGAGACCATTCTTCATGACTTTCGTCAAGGTGATCTCTCTGTAACCCAATACTTCAATACTCTTACTCGGTATTGGCAGCAACTAGATCTATTCGAGGTGTACCCTTGGAAGTGTGTTGAAGACTCTGTCATATTTCGTCGAATCATAGAATAGAAACGCACCTTCAAATTTCTTCTCGGCCTCAAATCTGAGTTTGACCAGACTCGCTCACGGATTTTGATTCGAAACCTCTTCCAACAAGTCGTGAAGTTTTCTTCCTTGTCCACTACAACCCTCGACGGGTCTGCACTTGCTGCTCATATTTCATCCACAGACAACCGCCAACGCCAGGGCCGCCCTTGGTGTGACCACTGTCGCCGTTCTGGCCATACTCGGGATACGTGTTGGCGGATTCATGGCAAACCCGCTAATGGGAAACCCAAACGAGATCACGGACAACTGCCACCATTCTCGGTCAGCTGTTACCAGTCCAGCCTACTAGTGTGGCATCGGGTGCCACCGGCCTTGTTACCTATCAAGGTATTTCCCCATCCGCTTTCGTCTTGGATTCAGCCTCTTCTCGCCCCTGGATTGTTGGCTCAGGTGCCTCCGATCATATGACCGGGGATGTCTCCTTATTAATGGATTACCGGCATTGTAATCCGACCCTCACTGTTCGGATTGCTAATGGATCAGCCTCCAAAGTTGTTGGTCTTGGTTATGTCTGCATCTCTTCAGATTTATTCCTCACTTCTGTGTTTCATGTTCCTGCAATCTGATCTCTATTAGTAAGCTCACTCATGATTGTCATTGTGTTGCTAATTTTTTTCTATATGTTTGTGAATTTCAGGATTTGAAGTCGGGGAGGATGATTGGCAGTGCTGAGTTGCGCAGTGGTCTTTATCTCCTCAACAAACCCTCTGTCAATCTCGTCTCACCCTCCAGTTGTATTTTAGTATCAAGTCTGTCATACTTAAATCCGCTTAGTACATCTGTATTTCATTCCAATTGTATTCCATTCAGCGTTAATAATCTCAATTTTATGTACCTGGGGAAACAGTTTCCTCATTTATTTATTAATAAAAGTCCTATCTCTTTTAATTGTGAATTTTGTCAACTTGTCAAACACACTCGTACTTCATTTCCTCGATTATCATACAAACTCACTCGTCTCTTTTCTCAGATCCATAGTGACGTCTGGGGTCCTCGTGAAAAAAATATTTCTGGGGCTCAATGGTTCGTGTCCTTTATTGATGATCACACACGGGTGACATGAATCTATCTTATGCGTGACAAATCCGATGTAGGACCAATATTTTGTGCATTCTATCAAATGATACTCACTCAATTTGACACAAAAATCCAGGCTCTCAAAACAGATAATGCACGAGGCAAAAATTCAGGCTCTCAAAACAAATAATGCAAGAGATTTTTTCAACACCTCTTTAGGAACATTTCTTACTCAACATGGCATCCTTCACCTTAGCACGTGAGTTGATACTCCCCAACAAAATGGGGTGGCCGAGCGGAAAAATCGTCACTTGCTGAAGGTAGCCCGCTGTCTCATGTTTACCACAT